CCGAACCCTTTAGGCTTTTATGACCTTATGAACTGTGGCTTAGGGCGCTAATTACATAGGAGTGAGTTGACCCCTCACGTCACAGAGCAGCCAATGAGCCGGAATGTGCAGGAGAGTCTCGTGAAAGCAGGGGCCTTAATAATTCGAATAGNNTCCTTATTATAATTACAGTATACTATACCCCCAAACCCAATTCTAATTGTAAAGGCCCCTATATTATAGTGCCTGCACCGCTTTTTCAGGAGGTGCGCCGTGATGCCCACCTCTCCCCCTTGGGCGGCAGGAGACTCAGAATCGCATTGTCTGGGCCCCTAAACCCTAAACCCTAAACCCTAAACCCTAAACCCTAAGGCAGTGCCTAGCTTTAGAGTTGGAGTTGTTGGGTGGATGTGTTTTTTGCAATGCCACCAAGAGTCACCATCGGCTCTCTTTCTGCAACCTCGACGACGTCAGGTTTAGGGTTTAGGGTTTAGGGTTTATCTACGATGACGCTCTCCCTGCTTTTGTCTAGTCTTCGCTCCTTCGGGGCAAGTGGGAGGAAGTTTGCCCATCCATACTGTGGTTGCAAAACGACCTGGAATCTGCTGACAATGAACTTCCCGCCCCGGACCCACACAGGCTTCTCCACGGGTGTGGACAGGTTTGATGCACATCAACGCTGTGAGTGCATGAAACATATCAACTCTTCTCGCTCCCGCGCATCAATGAGCACAGGCACGAAGAACAGGAAGCAGCATTCGCTAGTCCAGGCCTACATGGGACGTGGTTTGTTTACGCTTTATGCAATAGCCTAAACCCTAAAACCTACACCCCTATATAAGCCCTTATAAGCTCTAAAACCCAAGCCCTACTTCCTAAATCCTAGCCAAAGCTTTCCTCTGGGATGCGAAGCCCCAAGGCCAGTGGACGCCGGAGCGTTTGCTGAGCGTCCTCCGGGAGGATGCTAAGGGATCTTGCGGTTTAGGGTTTAGGGTTTAGGGTTTTGGGGATTCTACAAGGGTTCTTTCAGGGTTCTGTAAGGATTCAGGGGCCAGGGGTCTACAATAATGATTGTTCTTGTTGAAGAATTTAGTTTGAGCTGCCACAATAGGGGTCTGTAGTAATTGATAGGGGTCTATAATCATCAAATAGGGTCTGTAGTAAATAATCGGGTTTCCTTCTCATGGTAGCTTAAGAAGAATTCCTAAACAAGAACCCCGGAGCGGGTGAAGGGCTCGAGGCGTGTCCATAAACCCTTATTGTAAATCCCTCGCCCCTAAACCCATCGAACCCTTAGAGAACCCTTGTAGAATCCTTACAAGGAGCCCTTTCAAGGAACCATGGGATGTATTCCTAAGCCGTAGGTACCCCTAAGCAAGCCACTGAAAGCCCCAAGCCCAACCCGAAACCTTCAACCCTCAACCCTA